ATATTAGTCTTTTATATTTATATTTATATTTAAATATTAATATTTTAAAGTTAGTATATCTAAATTTATAATTCTGAAAATAGCAGTTTGAATTGGACGAAAGACTATTATTACTAAAAATAGTTTTTATATAATACTTTTCAAATAACTAATTATTTAAATTTTATTTTATATAAAATATATATGAACTTTGTTTTTAATTTTCTATAAAAATATAACATATTGTTTTCTTAAATTTTTTAAAACATGAACTACCATAATTTATAAAAATGATAGAATTCAAATAAAAAAAATTGATATAAACAAAATCTCAATCTTAGTTAAATTGATAATAAAAATTTTCTATTCGAAATCTTTATTAGTTGAAATATTTGATGGAACACTGGTGGTTTTCAGTAATATATGAATACTTTTAATGGAATATAACCTCAACTTTGGAAATCATATATGTTTTAAATTTATGTGTATTCGTCAAATCTTGCATTATTTAAAATCTGGCATTTTAAGACATGTTTTATGTTAATTATATTTTATTATGAATGTTCAAATGTTTGGTATATATTAAGTGAATTAATTTTCAAGAATTTTTAATTTGTTATTGTATGTTGTTTTATACTGATACGTATTTATTTTATGTTGTTCGTTTACCATATTTTAATTAATTTTCATCTTTCTGAGATAAATATATTTTTGAATTTTTTATATTTTAAAATATTTAATGAGATAGTGATTTTTATATTTTTTATTGATAATTTTAAATTCTGTGTGAAAACTTATAACCTCAACTTAAGAAATTTTTTGTAACTAATATGGTTTAAAGTATTTGGAAATTGTATTTTAGAAAATATTGCATTTTGGAATTTATTTTGTTTAGTAAAGGTTTATGATAATTTTCTAAATACTTTGTATAGATATCAGGTTAATTTTAATACTTTTACACTGGACTACTTAGTTACACTCACATGTATTCCATCACATGTTAAGAAATAATTTGTATAGTGAAATATAATATAAAGATTCTAGCGTATTAGATTTATCTTCTAGCATATTTGAGTCACTTAGACTCTTGATGAGGTCTCTCAAGTGTGAAGGCTTCACTGGATTCCAAAAATTTTCCCACCTTTTCGGCAAAAGAGTGATTTGTTTATTATCATATTTTCCGTTGCTTTCATAAACCTCGGTTGCAGGTTATAATTGTTGTTCAAAAACACTTGCATAATAATACTTAGAACACACGTAAACTTCAGGCAAAAAATTTTTTTGGCTTTTTGGTTTATATAGAAAACAAATTTGAACTACGTTCCTACAAACTTGGAAGCAAATGCATAATGGAAAAGATACTGGAAAGGTGATTCATGTTACTCTATTCCTATCAAATAGGAAGTGAAGTAGTGATCTAATTATTTGCATAAAATAAAAATAAAAAGAGAAGTCTAAGTCTCAGAACTTAGCGTTGAACTTTACGTTGTTTTTCTTGTGCAGATGAGTCTTCCATAGTTAGCTTTATTTGCTGACTCATCATGCTGTTACGGTCCCCTCTTCATTGTTGCTTTGATTCTACTGGTAAGAAAGATTCCTGCTTCTGTTTCCTAGTCCCGGACAAAAGAAGCTGGTGATCCTATATTCTTATGGTTGCTGCTCGGTTTAGCGCTTCCCTGATCACATCTTCTTAATAGCTTTTCATGTGATTGTTTTGGTGTCTTGGGCTCACCTGAACTACTTGCCTCTACAACAACACCAACTGCTTTCTCTACTGGCTTATCCTTCTCATATCTGCAAGTTAAAAATACTCATGTTATTGATCAACACACTAATCAATGATTTAAAAGATATTTCATAGTTTTTTTTTTNTTCCCTGATCACATCTTCTTAATAGCTTTTCATGTGATTGTTTTGGTGTCTTGGGCTCACCTGAACTACTTGCCTCTACAACAACACCAACTGCTTTCTCTACTGGCTTATCCTTCTCATATCTGCAAGTTAAAAATACTCATGTTATTGATCAACACACTAATCAATGATTTAAAAGATATTTCATAGTTTTTTTTTTTTTTTAAAAAGCAAGAACACCAACCGTGAGAAGGTTGATGCATCAGCGAGGCTAATAAGCTTTTGATGCTTGCTTTCATCTTGATTCTTCTCTAAACTCCCAGAGACACATCTCTTCAGAGAAAGCCCAAGCTCTGGCCTTACATGCTGCTGCTCAGTAGTGTTGTCTTCATGGTAAGGCCGTTTGTTTATTCCACCTATCAAATCCATTGCGATGATGTCAAAAAATTCAACCTTTTTTTCTATTTCAATCAGGGTTTGACATCATCGCTGATAACCTGCATAATTGACAATCCCACGAACCAAAAGACATGGAGAAGTGTTTATTGGTACCAATCGAACCACTTCCATGGTCAGAATGATATCTTGAATCTGCACAAGCTTCATCATTGTCTTCTTCAGGTTCTGCTGTGAAGCTTGTAAGCTAGGACCATTACCAGTAAGATCACCACCACTCAACTGATTAATAACCCCAAATAAAAAAAGACAGTCATTAGTCTTTTAAGCTTTAAAATCAATACAAAGGAAACACAACAAAAAAAATAACTTACAGTAACTCTTCTCCAAACATCGCAGGTTCTTCAGTTGGGTTCGATTGCCATAGATTCGGCTTATTGAGAGGAGTTGTTCGGTTTTGAGTTTTGACTGGAAGCAAGCTAAGGAAATAGAGAGGGGGTGAAACCAAAACATTAAGACCGTAATAATGTTAAGAGGGCAAAAAAAATTGTATGCTGAGGAAAAAAGAAGATGAACAGACAGAAAGACTTGAAAAAAAAAAGAACAGACAGAAAGACACCGTAATAATGTTTACGCTTTTCCTTCTCTTTTACGTTAAACGGGCCAAACAAATTCAAGGTAACATTCTTGGAAGCCCAAAACGAAAATAGTATGTGACATGGCCAAATGAAATAATTCTATTGGTTAATTATTTTTATCTAGGTGGACAGCTTCTCCTTTGAGGATATCCTCCTTTTAGTAGTGACTAGATATTTTGGCCGCGCTACGCGCGGCTAGTCTCGTAAACAAATTTTCCAATCATATTGTTTATGTATATGATATATTGTATAATTAAACTTATGATTAAAAATAGAAGAAATAGAATGTTCAACTAAATAGAAAAAAATAACGATTTAAAAAATAACCTACATAATAATTACTGTAGTTTTATATTTTCTATCTT